AAAGAAAAACAGTTTACTCGATGGAATTCCTGTACGAGTGAAGCTCGATCAACTGACAGATGAAGAACTGAGGCGTCTTGTCTCAAAGGTTATTTCACGCCTTCTGATGTTTTTTTTTTGTGCAGACAATCTAGGGTTAGTAAATGCTGAAGCTTCTTTCAGTCATCACCACGTATAGCGCATCTGTCGAAAACATTGGTTTCTATATTTCGATCATTGGAAAACGTTCCTCCAACGTCCAACTCGCGTCAGCTAACACCAGCGTTAGTTTTCAATCTAATTTTTCTCAAATTAATTCCGCATCTCCACAGCGCTTCCATTTCCACGACGTTTCTTTGTTATTCTCTTGCGACTTCACCTCGAGAACTTGAAGATAATGGTCGTAAGCCTTCTGACCGGCAGCCCTCTCTATGTAACCGAGGGAACCTACTATGCTATTGACTCAGCAGTATTTCATGAAATGGTCAAACTCGAGAAATAGAATCTTTAGTTTTGGAACTCGCATTCTTTTTGGTGGTCACACAGCACAATTTGCTCGACAGTTAGAAATCTCCTTTGAGTTAAGTTCCATAGAGTATGAAATTCCCCATATTGAGCTCATCTGATGATGTTATGCTTTGGGAATACCCCTTATCGCGATGTGAAGAAGATCATAGAACAACCTGTATGACATATTCTATTATGTAGCCTCTTCCGCGCGTTTCCCCTTGGTCATATGAGCCTTGCCTTTTGTTTCCCAATGCTTCGGTTTCGCTGGCTCCTCCTTACTAAAGTTCAAAAGTTGACGGGGATCCAGCTCGCTTTTCGAAATCGGAACTGCCATACTTGCTTTTTTGGAACAGAAAACCCCCTTTCAATCTATGCATAGCGCGACTGGGCTGTTTCTAGTCCTTTAAACCTCACAGTAGAGAAGTTCTAGGAGTTATGACTTCCTCCACTCCGACTTTACGAGCCATTGCATTTTCAAAAACGAATTTGTTCAATAATTCAATGGACTTAAGTCTCATGTGGCTTATGCTCAGTTACATGGCGACAAAATGAGAATGAAAGCGTCATGAGCTCAGTAAACAATCTAGTACACTTGTCCCGAATTCCAGTTGTATGAGTAATCGATCTGCTATGAAAAGAGGTACGTCTAAATTTTTCAGTGATTTACTCCGAGGATGTGCTCGAGTGAACATGCTCAGTGACCTCTCCTCCAATATGGCTATATTCGCAGAGCTACTCGATTCTTGGTGTCTTGCTGATCTTCCTGACAGGGCAATGAAGTTATGTGAGAAGGTACAAGTTTTTCACTCGAAATTCGCTACAGAAAGTCGTACTTGGCATCATCGCAGCCATAAAAGTGGCTGATTGGCTGTACTGTCCAAACATCGAAAATTTTCATGCCCCTAGGGGTCGTTCCCAATCCCGTGTGCGCACAACTGTAAGGCGCTTTCATACGTTGCGTCAGTGTTTTGAGCGTATGGCAGGGTTTGAGCGTTTCAAGCGTGCGGGAGCGTTTTGAGCGACTAGGAAGTATAGATGTCAATCTGTCGTTTTGAGTGTTTCGCGGGCAGTCGCTGAAACGCTGGCGAGCACTCAAAACTCCAGATCAGTACATATGCTTTCCTTGTCGTTCAAAACATTGCTGTACATCGGCAGACGTAGGGTGGGTACGCTCAAAACGCTGCTGTACACTGGCGTACACGAGATAGTACAATATCTAAACCTTCCTAGTCGCTTCAAACAATTAAAACGCTTGCGCAAAGTATGAACGCAGCCCGGAATTTATTGTCTCCAAAGGAGATTTTTTGAAAGGTGTCCTTTCTGTTGACTGACTATCATACAATAAACAATAAATAATCATCAATAAATAAATAATCATGTCTTCTTCACAGGTTGCTGCTGCTCTTTCGATTACTGGTGATCAGATCTCTTTCCACCTATTCCTCCGACAACCAACGTTTTCACATGATGATCGGTGGTGCACAGTTGGGCGATGTCGCCTGCCAAGTTCTCCCTCTCTACGCGGTGCGCAAGCGCACCGATTAGGCCATACACGGTGACTTCTTCGAAGTATATCTACTCTGGTATTTCATGTCATTCACTTCACTGTTTTAAGAGATGTACTACAGCTCATGGAGCGTCTCGCAGTATGCGTTCATAACCGTGAACCTGTACTTCTGGTCGGAGAAACTGGTGTTGGAAAGACATCTATAGTGCAATGTTTGGCGTCAGCTGTTAACGCCACACTGAAAGTTGTGAATCTCACTCCCTCATCCGATACCGATGAACTCATAAGCGGGTGAGTTTCTCATAGCTCACGGAGTCACTCTCATATATCATTCCGATATCTGGATCATGTGAATGAAATTTACGTATATTTTTCAGGTACAAGCCTACAACAATTTCTCAAGTTCTCTCACCATTTACACACTTCTATCATGAGGTCTTCTCCAATACATTCGATGTCACGAAGAACCAAAAATTTCTTTCTCACCTAGAGGTAGAGATATCATTTAGCCGTTTTTCGTTCCAGAGATTAGTTCAAGAGCTGCTATTTTTTCAAGGTTTGTTTATCAACTGGACGCTATCGAGACTACCTAACAGTGGCGATAGCAACTGCTGAGAAAGGCACTTCTGAAACAATCCAAGGAAAAGGTATTTCGAAAATTACTTTTATCATCCTTCTAATGAAGGACATTTCTTAGGATCCCCGATGGGCCTCTGTGATCGTCCGTGGAAGAAGAATACGTGAAAGCTTGCAAAACGGTGCTGCTCTTTTTGCAATATCTAGAGGTGCTGTGCTCGAAGCAGCGCAAGAAGGGTACTGGCTTCTGATTGACGAGGTACGCCGCACATTGTTTCACTTCATCAAAATTTTGCATTCCCTTTTGTAATCTGACATAAAAATGGAACTATGCCTTCAGATTAACCTGGCTCCTCCCGAGAGTCTCGATGCGATTGTGCATGCCATTTTGGGTAACGTTCATCCGAATTTTCGACTATTTGCTTGCATGAACCCTGCAACAGATGCTGGTAAACGGAGGCTTCCTGCGAGTGTTCGAACACGGTTAGTGCTACATTGAAAGGAAACGCCGTTTCATTTCATTCCGATGTCGCTTTTCCCTTTATGTTACGTACGCGAAATCTTTGCAGTTTCACAATTATTGCGCTAATAAATAATTTATTCCTTCAGATTCACTGAGTTTTATGTGCCGGAAATGACCGACGCCCACCAGATAGCCTTGGTTGTTTCTGCTTATCTTCCCTCGATGAAATCAGCTGCTGTCAGTAACTTGGTAAACTTCTATCTTCAAGCAAAACAACTCTATCCGATGAGCTACAGGTAAGCTTCCTTTGCGTACAAATATCCTTTTTGGGTATCTGCCAGTGCTTCATTGCAGCTTGCGAACCCTGTGCCGTGCTCTGATGTTCGCATCTGAGAATATGTTTGGTAATGAGGATCGCTCATTATATGAAGCGGTAAGTTTCTGTTCACTCTAGGTGAAATAGGGCCAGAAAACCCTAAACTTGGCTATTGCCAGAAGATTTTATAAATAGCTATATTCCAGATATGTATGGCTTTTCTCACCAATCTTGATGCCGAAGCTAAAGAAAAAATGCGGGTCAGAATTAGGCAAACATTTAGAGTAGCGACCAACGTTCCTGTCGGGCCACCCTATGGCAATACTGAAAACTACGTTTCGGTCAGTTCCATCTTGGAAAGGCTTGGAATTTTTGTATGTTTTTGATCGCAAAGGATGAGGATAAGGGATAGAATCTTCGCCGGAACTCCCTTCTCGAGATGCGGTACATTCTACTTCCACTCATAGTTTTTCTGGCTTACTGAGTGCGACGTGGCTCATGCAATGAATATTGAGGACCAGCCAATGTACAGTTCACTGGCTTCAGTCCTCCCATACGAAACTGGAAGGGGGGGGGTAGAAGGCTTGATTGGCCTAGATGGGAGCCGATTCGGGATTTGATTGCCGGGCCGTGCTCGTGGTAACTCCGCCTCGTTTCAGATCATAAAGATACAAAAATTTCAAGCCATAAATGTCATATTCAAAGACAGTGCTGAAAGTGAGTGTTATGACACACTTGATCACATTATTCATACAGGTAGAGGGATACTGGATTGAGCGTGGTACGGAGCTTCCTCGCGAGGATCCAAACTATGTTGTCACGAAAACGGTAAAACAGAATCTCGCTGAAATTGCTCGCATCACTTCTAGTGGAAGGTAATAAAGTGCTTCTGTTCCATATAACTCTGTTTGAGTTCATTTTCATTTAGGTTCCCTATTTTGTTGGAAGGCGAAACCAGCTCAGGAAAGACTTCCATCGTTTGCCACCTCGCCCGAATCAGTGGTAACGCGATTGTTCGCATCAATAATCATGAACACACCGATGTGCAAGAGTACGCGATACATTTCTATAGAAACTATTCGTTCTGCTGAACTGCTTTGTTTCAGGTATATGGGGTCATATGTTGGTGATAGCAGTGGACGCTTGGTGTTTCGTGAAGGGGCGTTAGTAAAAGCTGTACGAAATGGTAGCTGGGTGATTCTGGACGAGTTGAATTTAGCTCCAACCGATATCATAGAAGCTCTGAACAGGGTCAGTTTAATTTTACTTTGTCCCCCACGAACTCATCTTAGCATGTGTGCGCTGCTTTGCGCTAAACTGGCTGTTGTGCTTCAACCTTCACCTTCCAGTGAGTTGCCTTCAGAACTCGTGATCACTCGCGTTGTAACGCTACAGCGGGCATCGTCGCGCTACCTCTGCAGTAGCGCTGCAGCGCTGTGTACGGGTTGTAACCATAGACAGGTATCGATTGGCGCAGGCCGCTTGTGTTTGGAAAGCAAGTAGGAGAAAGACAGGCTGTACTGATTGCTATTCTCCTATATTGTCCGCATACTTGCCCACACAATCTGGTACTCTTCTATTCTCTTATATACTTCCCGAAACACTAGCGGCCAGCGCCGATCGACACCCGGATGTGTTCCCGTCTATAGCTTCAGAGTCCTATTGCGACGTAGTGCGATAGCGCGCGTCATCGCGCAAGTCTGAGCGCAGGCTTCGCCATGACGGATGACAAGTGTGG